GATGCTAAGGCCTGTGTCTTGTAAAACAGCACACAACGGGGAAGTCGGCACGTGCGTGTTACTGTGTCGTGTTGCACTTAGATTACAACAAAAGCGCGATGTGATCTACAAGTGTTGCATGCTACAGTGCGACACAGACAGTAACCAATTCCTTAATCAACATGTCACCATGTATGTGAGCGTTTGGCCAGTAATTGAATCACATAAGAATGCTTCTACAGTTCTGATGTTTAATTTAGACACTGAGCGAACAATGTGGAAATGTATCCAATGTCGCAAATATTTTTTTTTAAATCAAACACCTTTGATTACCCTCACAGCAGAACAACCAGCCCTCAATTTTTGCAGTGTTTCCTGATTTATCTCTGCCAGAAGTGAATGTCTTTATGATGCAAGCCAGATCTGAGTCTGTTTGACTTATAGGAGTGGTGCTGACTTACTGAGACTCACTGAATACTTGAAGGTTTTGATATGCGTCTGCATCCGCAAGTCTGCTAGGGTCTGAATGATGGAAATTTCATCATTAGACGATGAGCAGAAGAGTCCATGTTGATAAAAACTCTTTGTGATGGAGAGGACTCGTCCACAGAGACTAAGTTACAATGCAGTAACTGTCCATGTGCCTTTCAGAGGAAGCATAACGGGAAGTACTACTTGGGTGTCCCTGTGCCTGTGTGCAAGAGTATACTATAAGGCTTTAATGAACAGAGTTAACTGTACGGTAGCTGATAATATGCTAGCAGCAGACCTCTACTGACGTCATATTTTTTGTTTTGCTAATGCCAGTGCTTTATCAATCCCCTTTGGGGTTGCAAAGAAGGCCATCCGGCGCAATAGTCTACCAAAGCAAGCATGTGGAGCTACCTGTTGTGGTGACCCCTTGTGGCAGGGGAGGAGCTGAAAGTCACTTTTTGAATGTCAGCACTTTACCAATTTCGCACAGGCCTTAACAGCTAAAACATTTTCCTGCACGTCTCATTTCCTGCCAATTCTCGCCATATGTCCTTACACTTGCCCCATGATGACATGAAACATTGGTAGTGGTACTGAACTTGTTGTAGGGTCGAAAGCATGATTCACAGACACTGTCACCCAGCACAGTGAATGATGAACTTTCCCTGAATGTGATTTGAAAGTTTCTTTTTCATTCAAATGTTGCAGTTAAAAATTCCAGGGACGTAAACCCGTGTAACGCTTGCTAATTTGGAGTTGTATGGCGATGCCAGTGATGTTCTTTGGAGTCAGCACTTAATACACTGGATGACATTTTAATATTATTATCATTACTGCTGATATTAGGCACTTCCACGGGTCTCTTTGCTGTTTTATCATTAAGTCCTAACTAATCTAGTACACGGCTGAGATTGTATAAAGTTATGAATAACACCTGCAATTATATTTCAATAACTGATGTTACTAATTAGACATTTTAATACATAAAGCCCTGATATTTCCATTTGTGATCTGTGTAAAGTATAATTGGAATTTGTCTGATAATGACATTTTTAATGGCCCAAACGGGGCTGCATGGCGTCAACGCGTTAAAGCTCGTTAAAGCGTTAGCGCCGTCCAGTCCCTCGCTAACGGAGATTTGCCGTGTTAATGCGGTTATGGTGTTAACGTCATTTTGACAAGATTAATGCTGACAGCACTAGTAATTTAATAAATAATCCAGCAGTAAGAAGTCGCTCATTCAGGTGCTCAGAGATTTTGTGTCACCTGTTTGTAAAACAGGATCAGTGGAAACATTGGTTATGAAAACTTTCAGTAAGCAAGACTCAAGACGGTATCAAATTCATTTGAATAAATGTTGAGTGTCAGTGAATGTTGAGTCGTTAGGTCAGTTTCTACTGTACTTCTTAATGCTGTCACATTAAAAAAAAAACTTCCTGAAGTTTTATTGTATCATTTTAAGAATGAGTGTAAGGGAAGTAAAGATATATCAGTCCAGACAGAAACTAAACAGGGCTTTGCTGATGTATCTGGACTCAAAGGACTACAGCGAGCCTTTACCGTTAATCACATATGGATAAAAATGACAACACAATAATTGAGTGTGGGGGCCGGACTAGTAATTTAAGAGAAAACAGGTTGCTTTTGTGCACGTTTGAGCGAGGAGCGCCTGGGATTCCAGGGCCTGGAAGGAGAAGAGCTCTGAAGAGAGGCTCACGGACCTGCCTCTTTACTATATGAGACAGCTCCAGCCACAAACAGACAAGGTTGTGTTTGGAAATATGTCCTGATCCCAGACACAACAAGTCTTTTTACAGTGAGCCACACCCAGTCAACTGCTATTTCAACTGTACTTCATTCAGCTTCTGGGAAGAAGAGGAATACAAGAAGCAGATTCCTTAAAAGAAATTCACATGGACCAGGGAAAAGGATTAACAAAACAAATACTGCTTCTGCTATATGTATATATATATATATATATATATAAATATTTTTTTTTTTTTAAATGGTAGACACCATAGTGTGACAAGTTACTGCTTTAGCATTCCTGTTATTACAGTATCTTGTTTTTTTCCAGTAAACTCTCTCTCTTTTTTTTATAAAACATTACATTTTTTACAGAAGCAAAAGAGAAAAAAAAGAGTAAAATGTTAAAAGAAATGAGCCAAAGTGTAAAGTTTAACAGTAAAAGAGATTGTCAGAAATGATAAAGAGGGGCTATGACTTAAGACGTTGGGTGAAACAGAGAGATTTATAAGATTCAGCCAGACACAGAGCACACAAGCCACTTAAAGTCACTATGGAGTTTGCAGCGAGCCATAAAAATGACAGAGCACATGCATACAAAGAGGCAGTGCGCTTTAACTAAAGAAAAGCGACCCGTGTCTACTCTATAAAAGTGAAATCCAGACGAGGCTTTTTTAGAGCACGACGTTTACTGACGTACCCCCAGCTCTGCTGGTGTAAAAATACTTTAGATATACCAAACACTGCAGAGACCACTGAGAAGAGGAACTGTGTGACTGCTGGGACTTTATCATCCTCTCTTAATAATGCATTATCAGGGATTGTAACATCTAGTTCTTTTACTGAATCAGAATAACTATTAAAGTGGCCGGCACTTTGGACAGAAGCTCCTGTATTTTTTGTTGGTGGTAACCTCCATCATAGTTAATAGTGTATTTACATTTACTGACATAAAAAGTAAGTTCAAGTTTTTGTGAGGGTTCGGTTACTCAAAACGCTTCTCCTGCCAAGCATCCTCATACAGTGCAAGCCATTTGTGGTAGGATAAAAAACACATATGTGAAGTGCTTCTTTTTCTGTGTTTTCAGCCAGTTTGTCTTTAAATATCAAAAAATACATTCTGGCTTACACAAGAAGTACATAACTGCAGCTGCTACTTTCTCTTGTGAGCTTTCTTGCCAGTTGTCAAGTTGGGCCCCAGTTACACAGACCTAGAGGCCAGTCAACGGGAATGGCAACCACTTGTTGCTGGAGAAAACATTCCCAGATTGGTTGGTGAGCGGTCGCTTGCTGTTACTAAGTGAAACAGGTCTCAAAGAAATCTACAAGAACGTCCTTGCCTGGTTGCCTATTGATTGTGTTGAAGACACCAACTTGTTTGCAAACACTTGCAAACTGCTTGTCGAAGCAGTAGTGAAACTGTGAACAGTGAGGCCCAAACTTCCAGAAACGACCCACCAACTAACTGAGGAACACACATTTTTCCTTAGCAACCAGAGGCTGACAACCTGTCTCTAGGACTTGTGACAAAAGTGTAACATGTGTCATAGCAGCTATAAATCTAACTGAAAACAATAATATTGACTATAAATTCAGGTCTGTTAATGAACTAATTATAGTTTAGTAATTTTAGGAAATATGTATTTTATAAAATTCCTTCCATTTTTTCTACTGCTTACTTGCCTCGCTTCTGTCATTCTGCCCCAGGGCAGCTGTGGCTACAACTGTAGCTTGCCTCCACCAGTGGGTGAATGTGAGAGTGAATGAATAGTGGAATTGTACAGCACTTTGAGGGCCCCGAAAAGCGCTATATAAATGCAATCCATTATTATTATTATTATTGTTATTGTTCCCAACCTGGCCAAGAGACAGAATCTCTCCAGTGTGCCCTGGGTCAGGACTGGGATCTCCTCCCAGTTGAGCACGTCCAAAGCACCTCATCTAAGGCGTTCAGGAGGCATCTGAGTCACATGTCCAAACCACCTCAACTGGCTCCTATCAGTGCAGACAAAAACTGGCACTACCCTGAGCACCTCTGGGTGACTGAGATCCTTACCATATCTCTAAGTCTTGGCCTAGACACCCTTTAGAGAAGGATGATTTCTGCTGTCTGTATCTAAAACCGTATTCTTTCAGTCCTTTGCCAGAGCTTCATACCTTAGCCACAGGTGAGGGGAGGAATTTTATATCGATTGGCTTTACCTTAGCTCTCTCTTTTCCACAGACAGTAAAAGTGTCTGTATCACTGCGGATGTTGTACCAATCTGCTTGTCAATTTCCTGTTTCACTGTCTAATCTTAAGCAAGTCTATAAGACACTTGAACTCAACTCATTCCCAATTCAAAGTGGGCAATCCACTCGTTTCTATTTGAGAACCTTGGCATTGGTTATTGAGGTGGTAATTCTCATGCAAACCACTTCCTACTCTCTAATATTTTAAAATTATAACGCTCATTCGATTAAGTAACATGAAAGCAGTGTTTCTCAAGCTCTTTCGTCTCTATAATACAACACGGGGACTCATCATGTCTGGTGTGTTCAAATTTAAACTTCCAACCCCAACAACTGTCACAAGACAGAGTCGTAACACTGCAGTATACCACTGAAAGCTTTAATAATACAGAGTACTGCTGGACCACACACCTAATAAATGGACACAAATGATTAAAGTTGCTTATAATGAGACGTGTAGAGAAGGGGCATGTGCCACCTTGCATACTTTGATCAGAGAATGTGAAGAAATACCTGTTGCTCAGTGCTGAGTGATGTAATTATTAAAGTGTGTGGTTTCCAACACTGACCTTGTGGGTCTGATCGGCACGGTGGGTTACTGTCTTTCTTTCCTCTTCCCAACGAGCATTGGCCTCTTTTAGCTGCTTCTCCATTGCCGTCTGCAGACGTATCGCCTCCTCCTTTGAGTCACATACAGACGTCTGTAGCTCCGCAATTAGCTGTGGGCAAGAAAAGTCAGGTTTTTGACTGATCCTCAAGTGTGTGCAGGATTGACAGAAACTTAACAGAAGTGGCAGTGACTAAATAAGATCATAACTTGGCCTGCTTGCACTTGGGAACCATTTTTTTTCCTAGTGCAAAGTTAACTTGGAAGTTGTCTGTATTTCTATGCTTATGTTTGAAACAAGCGACATAGTAAAGCGATCAAAGAGAGAAAAGCCTGTTGCCAGAAGCAAAATGCAAAATACGTTCACTTAACAAAATGCTGTTCTGATTTGTTTCATTTCACTGGGCTTACAAAAAAAGACTAGTATCAGATGGAAAATGCATTTTGCATTTGCCATGGCTTGGGAAGGCAGTAACAATCACCTTGAAAGACCGCTTTTCCCAGAGTCTCATGTCTTCTTTTTTTGTTTTTTGAGACGAGACAGAAGACACAAAGAAGAGAGAGAGAAAGCGCAAGAGTGAGAAAGAAGAGGGACTTAAAAAGAAATAGACAGGAAGGAAAAAACAACTTCCTTTTTGAAGAGCGGAGTGACTTTGTGTTGGTGAACTTGCGGTGCACACCAAGATGAAAAGGAAGTGTCTTGGCTTTGAAAACCTCCAGTCAAAATTAACATTCTATTTAAGCCACTGTCAGAGAAAGGCAGAGGAAAGATGAGAGAGTAAGAAAAAAAGAGAGAGAAAGAGAGAGGGAAGGGAGAAAGAGGTGAGGAGGAGGAAGGAGGGTATTGCCGCTGCTTTGGGCTAGACAGATAATTGTTTACCATGTTCAAACTCTGGAGGACTAGCCCCGCTGGAATCTGCACATTGTGTGGGAGTATGGGAGCTAAAGCGGCGCGGGTCGACCACAGACAGAAAGAGACGGCAAGGGCGAAGGGGGGTGGAGGGGTGCTAGGGAGATTAGGCTTATTTAGTCAGTGGGACAGCCACATGAAAGCAACAAATGACACATCATTATGTGAACATCATTTCTGGTCATAATAATTATTTTGCAATATGGATTCCCTGCATTTGCTGGTCTTCAGCCCCGGGGCAGTGGCGGCACTCCAAACTAGTAAACTCAGCTGTCTGTCTTGTTACTCCTGTATATATATATTTATATATACACACATGCACACTCACACACCATAGCACCTTTTTCACTCTCTGATAGGCAGCCAGGCCTTTTTAAGTCTATAATTGGTCTGGTGAGACTTGCCTATTTTCCCAGCCTGCTAGCATCTCTGTTTAGGGCTAAGGGCAGGCTTGCCTCCCCATGAACCTGAAGTATGAAAAAAAGAAAGGAGGACAGAAATGAGTCTGTTTACCCACCTGTTTACAAACAGGTGGGTAAACAGGCTACCAGAGGAGAAAGGCTGCTCTGTAATGATACATGAAAAGAACACAAACACTTGTAAGTGCGAAAACCTGGTGGCTGATGCTTGATTTGAGTTGCCCGTTTCCTCTGATAATGATTCCAGTGATTTGACCCCGCCAGCAAAAAAAACAGTGTAAACGATAGAACATTTCACTTATTGCCTCTTTGTTTGGTAACATTTCTGCCATAACTGCAGACGTTCTCCAACAAAGTGTAGCTGTGTTAGCCCCATAAAGCCTGAAATATGAAACAATTGCCAGAAAATTCTTAAATTTCATATTTGACTTTTCATTTTGCTACATTTTCTTAAAAAGTTGCTTAAAACTGCATGGTGTAATTTATTCATCACACTGATGATGTAAAAGTCTCAGAACCTCCCAAAAAACGATACCAAATATGACATACTTGTTGATAAGTTACAGCTTTTAGGCACCAAGCGTGTTTTTGGAAAAAACTAAAATAAAAATAATCACAAATTTAGAATTTTTCCAATGTATAAACAAACCAAAAGCATTTTTTTTTAGAGGGGGGGAATTCATCCTCAAAGAAACGCGGTGTGAAAAAATAAAGTCAGCATGAAATTCTGGGCCGGAGCAGTGCCTAGCTGTCTGTCTGAGGTTAACTACTATTATTTTTCTATTTGTATATTCAGTACTTTGTTTTGAGCTACGAGTGCACTTGTTGCCAAATGCATTGGTCTGATTGGTCATAACTGTTTATTCAGAAAAATCAAGCTTGGTCCAACGAAATAAATTCTGCAATTTAATCAAGTGAAATCATGAGATCTGTGTGTGTGAACAGCTGCATTAAGAATAGGTGAGTGCAAAAAATATTTTCAATGCACATTATATTTGCATGAATTTGTGTCTTCAGATCTGTGTGCCAGTGCAAAGTGTGGAACCTCTGTGGTATCTTTTTTCCCAAGACATCAGGCACGCTGCACTTAATGTTTCTGCATAACTAAAAGTGGTATTACAAGATTTCCACATAAAATGTATTCCTTAGTATTTTCCTATAAGATCCATTCATCTTTACAGCTTATAGGTTCATTTGACAAAAGCTGACTGACTTTTTGGGAACTTTTCAGAATGCACAGCTCCACGTTTGGTGAAAACCAAACACGGCATATCAGCTGTATAAACACCTCCTACCAAAAGCCAGCACGGTGGTGACAGGGTTATGATTTGGGTTCTATAGCACATTAAATATTACTTAAAGTTCATGACAGTACAGTGAGCAGAAGACTGAACAAATATGGAAGCTTAGAAGGGTTTCAAAGAGAAAGTTTATTCTTGTTGAAAAAGAACATGGCAGTACAGTAGGGGTGGGCGATTGGAAGAATATATCGACTATCGATCATTTTTACACAGATCATTTATTTATTTATTTCCCCATGAGCACGTTTGCTAATAAAGATGGAGCTAATAGACGCAGCAAACAGAAAAAAAAAAAAAAAAAAAAAGCTCTGTTTTATCAGCACCCTCTCACATCTGTGAGCAAATGCACGATCTCAGAGTGCGCCCAAATGCAGCGATTCATTTACTCAAGCTCATAAGAGAAAGAAAGACAGGCAGTAGCCTATGTTCAGAAAAAAACATTCGGATGGCGGATACGTACAAGCTTATGCAAGTTAGTCGTGTTTGAGTCCTTTGCTCGCACTATACGTCTGCACAAGCGCCACACCGCTTTGATTACATCCTTAGGTTTACATCCGGTTTAAAGCCAAAGAAATCCTAAATTGGCTACTTTATTTATTTAATTTTTTGGGCAATTAGAAGAAGTCCAAACATAGATGAACTATGTTGTAAATGCACAAATCAGTCCGTGCATGATTATATTGCTCCGTCCATCAAAAAGTCTGCGCAACCTCCCAACCCTCCAGCTTAGGCTTGCAAAGATGAACAAACAACTAAACTTATGGAAAAATGTCCACCAAAGTGGAGATAATGTATAGTGCTACTTTTGGCCAAAAGACATATCAGCATAAACACCTCATACTAACTGTCAAACACATGTGAAGGGGTGATGATTTGGGCTTGTTTTGGGCAGTCACAGGACCTGGGCACCTCGAATACACTTGAGTCAAATGTGAGAGTCCGAACTTCTACCTGATTCATATACTTGAAATGTGACGGGACCTTAAGAGAGCTGTGCATAAATGAATGCCTACAAGCCTCAATGAAATGAAGCAACACGGTCAAGAGGAGTGGGTAAAAATTCTTCCACAAAGATGTGAGAGGCCGAAAAAGCCGTGCTGTTAAAGTTATTGCTGGTAAAGGTGGTGAGGCAGCTGAACAAACTTAAAAGACACAGTTGATATATGTTTAGCAAAAGCTTCCAGGATTTGAGTGTGATCACCTGATGAATGTAAGTCTTTCAACTTACCGGCTGACATTTGGCTGGTGCAGCTTCGAGAGCAAATATTAATTATTATCCAAGGCTAGAAAAGATAAGGAGAATAATTGTGTGCAAATTTGAAGCCTGATAAAATGTTCTGACTTTTCAAACTGGAATGAAAAAGGGGCTGCAGAGAGTTGTGTGAAAAGCTTTTCTTTTCACATGACCGTATTTGCCAGCTAGATATTAATTGGTCGGCAAGTTCACAAAGAAACTTCAGAGCTTTTTTTTTCTTTTCCTAGAAACCAGTTGTCTCCTGCATTACTGGAAATGAATATGCTGAGAGTTGTGAAAGAGAGCAAAAGCTCTACTAACAATCAATACAGAAAAGAACCCAAAGTTTAAACAGTGCTGACACATTTCAATTTTGTTTTGATGTGAAAATGTCTCCAAAGGAATAAACCCTGCAGCTGGTCAGTAAATTCCTAAAAGGTCACAGAAAAGCACAGTAAAAAAACCAAACAAACAAAAAAACAACAACATTGTGTTTAAATAAATTAAATAAATTTACATATCAATTTCAACCTGTCGTGAACTGTGCCTCCCAGAGAACGTTCCCTCCACCTCCCACCTACTTGCGGTCAGGGATAAAGTAATGATCTATCAGCACCAAGACTACCACCCACTGTAACCTGACCATTAAGTGGGCCCTGTTTAGTTCACAGGTCACCCAGGAGGACCACTCGCAGCTAGGCGCTTAACACACAGGGCTGGGTAGGAGACACTAATTAGGAGAGCTGTGTATGTATGTATGTGTGTGTGTGCCTGATTGAAAGAACCAGAACACAGAGACAAAAGCAGGGAGATAATATACAGAAGAATAGGATCTGCACTTCTGTGTGTATGTTTGTGTGTGTGTGAATGCAAAGAAACATACATATCAGGCCCCCTAGGATAATGCATGGCATGGTATGTTTTTAATTGGGCTATTAGCTATGCAGCTGAGCTCAAGAGCGATGCTCCCTGTCAGACACTGAGGGGTTAACAACTGGGGTTAGCCTTTGAGGTTCAAAGACCTCTTGTTTACATTTGACTGAGTTGCTCCAAGGGGTGGGGGGTGGGGTGGGGGGGAAAGAAAGCCTTCTTGGTTCCACCTTTACCTTTTAAAACAAAGCCGCCCAAGCCCATAACAAATACTCAGAAATAATCACGCATATTAACATGTTTGCACAGAACCCACTCCTTTAGCATAACCTTTATGTAACCGCTCGCATCAACAGTGGTGTTGAGTTCGGCGCTCTGGGACCATCTTCTAATGTCAGAGAGTGTTGTTTGTTAAACTTATGCCAGCTCTGTGTCCCCAAACCAGAGGATTAATCACTTGTTGCTCGTCTGCGGCGGCCCTGCACCCTCCAAAGCGGGCAGAGGCTAAACTTTCGCACAGCACCCAACTCCTTTTGAAGTTGAGCATTGTGTAACCTAATAAGCTACCGTTTTTCCTCACAACATCTGCTTGTCAACCCCGCTTTCAACTCGGAGCCTCTGCCAACCAACCCGAAATGGGGGAGATTTAAAGAGGAGAAGAAAGAAAGAAAGAAAAACAACAACCTTCTCCTCCCCCTCGTCCCCTCCCCCCCAGCCTTTTTGAATCTCCTCTTTGGGTAACGAGGTGCAATTACGGCCAAATGATTGTAATATTTTAGCCTGCTACATAATCAAGAAGAAACCACTTTTCTTTTTGTAATGTAAACACTACTTAGGGTGTTTTTGGATCTTTAAACTGGTGAGGTGAAAGCTGCCAGAACTTTCTGAGACGTCGTGCTGAATGGCAACGTGTGTCCGAGGAAGTTATATTTCTGTTTGGACAGAAGAATTAACTCAATTTTATGTGGCCTAAGGACACAAGACGTAATGTTAAACACATTTCCCTGGATTTGAAGTGTAGCCAGGTGACGGACAGACAGGTATGGTATATGAAAAGGACTTTCACCGATATGTTTTCAAGATGTTTCGCCGGCTTAACAGTTTGCTCGGGCTGTGTAGCTCCCATGAGAGAGCCGTAATACACTTGGGGGCCGCGGCAACATCACACAAAGAGCTGGACTGCTTGTGTTTTTGCAACTCTTTTTCTTTTTTCTCCCCCTTTTCTAAATCCCGGTGATTGTCCTGTGGGAGGAAAAATCTCTTAAGAGAGTGCCAAGATATTTTATACCCGGGGAATTGTGGCCACTGGGGGGCAGCTGAACAAACTTAAAAGACACAATTGATATATTAATGTTTGGCAAAAGTTTCCTGGATTCGTGTCTGATCACCACATGAATGTGAGTGTAGTGGTTGCACTCATTCCAGCCCTTTCAACTCATGTGTCGGTGTTTGATTGGTGCGGCTTTCAGAGAGCAAATATTAATTCTAATCTAAGGCTAGCAAAGATAAGGAGAAGAATTATGTGTAAATTTGAAGCCTGATAAAAATGCTCTGACTTTGGACACAGGAATGAAAGAGGGGCTGATAAAAGTCAGATAGCAAAGTTTACAAATTTCACTCTAATATGAACTTTCGTGCTCTGCCACTGACACGAATGTTCTGCGTGCACTTTCTCGTACATTTGCGCTCGTGCACATGTGCTTAAGAGAAAAGGCCATGGCAGCTTACTTCATGTTCAGGAGTGTGTGTGTGTGTGTGTGCCACCACCTTTCCCCCATCAGTACATTTTGTCTGTTCCGTCACATAGTCGAGTAGAAAAACAAGAATATGAAATGAAAGGGCAGAAGTGAAAACTGATTACCTGGGCAGATTTGGCAAGCTTCTGACTGTACTCCCTCTCAATCTGCTTCAGCCTGCTGTTGGTCTGCAAGGAGAAGAAGGGAGAGGGGAGTGTGAGAAAGAGATATGCAGACGGCCAGGTTGAGGGACACAAAGAGAGACAGGGTAGTGAAATTCAATCTTCCGTTAGGAAGTGCACAGAGACACATTACCCTCCCAACCTAACCATCCTCTCTCACACACACACACACTTTTGTGCTGACCTCTGCCTCTTGGCAGTGTGTCCCTGTTGAGCACGCCTGCGGCCCCTTGGCTCCGCGCCACTCCCAGCGCTCATGTGTGCCAGCAGGTAGCGATGGGCATAGTGCACAGTGGGCACCACTCCCCTTTGATCCCCTGCCAACAATTCATCACTTAACAAGACGAGGGGGCTACGGTGAGGGGTGGGGGAATTAAAATGTTGCTGCCAATTAGCTATAGGGTAAGAAAAAAAAAAGCGAGGGAGACATTTGAGAGAAGCTGGGAAACTAAACAGGGTGGAGACAGAATAGAAGTGAATGGCGATTGTTGCTGGAAGTTTAGTGAGCGTTGCTCGTCTCTTTTGTTTTCCGTTGTTTCTCTATGGGAAGCTAGCCAGCTGGAAGCAAAGGCTGTGTGTTTCTAATGCGAGATCTTTCTCCTTTCAGCTAGCTGTGTTGTGCTGCCAGAGTTTCAATAAGAGGCTGAACTGTGGAGTGAGATAATTAGGTGTGAAGTGCTGGAATTCCACAGGGACGTCAGTAGCGGCCTGCATGGACGTGGATGTGGTCCATACAAGTACTAAGGAAACACTAAGGGTTGAATTAATGGGGGACAGAGGTCATTATGTGAAGGCCAGGCAAAGCTTTTCAGTGGATGAGGATTAAACTTAAGTCTCACATTCTGCTGTAAAACTACAGAAATCAGCATTTATATGCTATATATTATTTAGACGCTTCAGTTGCTATGCCACTAAAAAAGGGGCCACAGTTTAATATATTTCTTCTTCTAAATTCCTGAAAAACACACAACTGTAAACCATCAGCCATGCAGAGATGTATTCAGAAAGTTATTCTAAACTGTAGTAAACATGATTCTCTCTCTTTTGCGCACACAAACACTTACTTGACTCTCCTGACAGCCACTGACAGACAGACAACTCATGAACAAACACTGAACACTCCCACTCACAGCCATCAACACCTGAGCTGCGTTTGGACTCCGCACCCCTTCCAAACACTTCCTGACAAACACGGCCGTCCGCTCTGAACGGACACACCTGTCACCACGGAAACACAGAGCCATCACCAAGGATACAAGCCCTGTCTTCCTGCGCCAGGACTCTTTGAGTGGCGGCCCGCTTGTCCCTAGGGGCCCTAAAGCAGCTGATGAGAGCGCGGAGGACAAAGGAGGGCGTAGGAAAGACGAGAGAATGAACTGTCTGTGCGAAAGGGAAACAAATGGAGTTCTTTTTTTACATTTTCTGTCTCAGCTCTGCTCCATCTTGTGAGTGGCTCTGTTATAATAACGGATATTTGTGTATTGTTCGTGTTCTATATTTAGAAAAATAAAAAAAAAAAAGATAAAAGAATCGTCTCTACAGTTAATTTAGGTGATGTTTATAATGCACAATGTGAGACTGTAGGTTCACATGTACATGGGTTTCTTAAATTTACAGTGTGTAAAATTTTCACAGCTAGACCAAGATTCAAGTTGACGTCAGTAGACTGCAAAGTGCAGTAAACTGAGTTGTGTTTTCTTACCCCTCGAACATGTTTTCAACAGCCAAGAGATCAAAAACATTAAATTTAAACTGCACCCCATAATGGCCCAGCTGGCTGGAATATTTCTATTACTGCTTGGAGGCGATCCAGATTCAGTCCACTGTTTACCTCAGCTGTCAATGCTGGATGAGTAGTGTCCACCTTTATTTACTCAGGAGGAAGCCGGGAATCTTTGTCAAAGGACTGTAATATCATTTGATAAGTCCGTGAAACTCACTTCTGACCCACGACAGTCACACTGAGGTGAGTTGTTGAAGATGAACCTGAACTACTGGTAAGCGCTGCTATTAGCCTCTGTTAGCTGCTGCTAACTGCCTTTAGTGAAACTTTCTTTGAATTGGACTCAGACACTTGGCGAATAAACTCTCATATGAATCTAATTAAACTGTTTATCAGAAGGAAAAAACAGAAACTGGCGCGGTGGTTAGCACTATTGCCTCAGCAAGAAGGTCCTCTGCATGTTTTCCCTGTGTTTGTGTAGGTTCTCTCCAGGTACTTGGGTTTCATCCAACAGGTCAAAGATATGGGAGAGTGGGGTGAAGGTAACAGGTGATTTTAAATTGTCAATAGGTGTGAATGTGAGTGTGAATGGTTGTCTGTCTGTCCTTGTTAGACCTGTGACAGACTGGCGACCTGTCCAGGATATATCCCACCTTTCACCCTATGACAACTAGGATAGGCTCCAGCCCCCCGCGACCCTGATAAGGATAAGTGGAAAAGAATAAATAGATGGATAAGAAAGACAAGTGAGATTTTTAGGACACTCAAGTCTAACATTAGCTGGTATGATGTTAGCTTGTAACCAGCTGTTTTGGTTTAGCTATTTCTTGTTAACCGGAGAGTGTCACATGTCTAATCTGCTGACAACAAGGAATTGTGACAACATTGGGAATAAATAAGCGTGTTTATGGACATTTTTGCCCTGATTTTATATTATGAGATGAGGCTTGAGATGCGAAGGAAGAGTATGACATTTTACACAGATGCCAGTGGTGCTGTCTCTTTCCTTCGTGGTTTTGGTGAAGATGACCCCTCCCCCGATGATAAAACATAGATATGATCCTTTATAACTTCAGCCTGAAAATGCAGGTGTCTCTACATAAAATGCAATCAGTTGGAAGGGAGCTGTCCTACCTGGTCACTGTATTCAAATATAGTAAGGGAACATTCACCTTCACAAACCAATGCCAACCAACTCCCATTTATTTTTAATACATTAATTATAAGTTTGAGAATGCATCAATTTGTTGGAAGATCTAATTACACACTATATATCCTTATTTTCCATTAAATGACCTCAAATTACTGACTGTACCTTTAGCATGTGGTCATACTGACACACAAACAGGCTCAGATTTTTTATAAAATCACAAAGAGCTTGCTACTAACTTACTCCTTTTACCTGAAGTCACTCGGGGGATTTCAGCAGGAAGTATTATAAAAAAGTATTTTAAAAAACTTCAAACATTATAAACCTCTACCATCTAAACACACATAAAAATGGACAGAAGTAGAAGAAAATATGGATAGTACACGCAGTGAAAAATACCCCATTTGGACTGTGACAAATACAAAGGGAAAACAGTGTTAAATTAAAAGCCCATCCATATGTGTGTGTCTGTGTGAGTGTGTAAGAACTTTCAAAGAGAGTACCTGCGCCCTGCCAAAGGCATTTTTGCGCTGAAGGCACTTTGAGGCTGTATCAGGCTCTTCAATCGCCTCTTAATCCTAGCGGTGTGGAGTGCAGCTGCTTTGAAGTGTGTTCGTCTGTGTATGTGTGTGTGCGTGCGCAGATACCAATGTGTGCTAAAGAAAGTGGAAGTAGATCTGAAGGTAAGGCATGCACCGCTTACCGGGACTTAATTAATAATCTGCAATGGGAAGCAGGCCAAACACACACATAGACACGGGCACACATGGATACATGGGCACACTTAAAAAGGATGGGGACATGAGTGGCACAAAGAAAGCGAGGGGGGGGGGGACTTTCTCTCACACACTTAACGATATGCACACAAGTCACACTTATTCAAACAGACAAACAGGATGCATGAAGGCCAAGCACACATCCAGAGTTTGATCTATTGCTGGAAATGAGATTTGCTCAAGGTGTGCAATCCCTTTGTTCAGAACAGACGGCTGTATTCTTGCTAAAGGAGGAAGCAGCTATGGTAAACACTTCTTAGTGTAATCAATGTAGTCACTGCATGGTAATGTTTGTGTCTTATAGTCAGATGCACAGTTTTCAGCAGTAGAAAACACATCAAATGTTCAAACTTTACTAAAAAGGTTTTTAAGAATTTCATACATGCAAAGCATTTCAACAAGAAGTTGGGATGTGTTTCATCACCTCTCCTTATAACAAAAATCTCAAAGTGCTTGAACTAAGGAAATCAAAAGCAAAATGGTATCCCATTCCCACAAGTACCTTTTACCTGGACTGTAGAGAAGCCAATTTAACACCTGTACTTTCCTTTTTTGTTCTTTGAAGCTTTGATTTTGTGCAGAATGCAGTTTGGTATTGTTTTACTGAAATAAACAATGTCCACACTGAAAAAAAAAAAAGCTACTTTGGATGACTGCGTAGCTTCTCCCCCCCAAAAAGGAAAAAAACATATTGTTGGAATATACTCCATGAACTGGAGCCTATCCTAGTTGTCAGGGGTAAGAGGCGGGGTACAAATTGGATAGGTCACAATCTATCGTGGGGCCAACACAGCCAGACAATCATGCTCATTCACAGTCAAGTAATTTAGAATCAACCTAACCTGCATGTAATTGGACTGTGGGAGGAAACTGGGGTACCTGGAGAGAATCTAAACAGGTACTAGGAAAACAAGCAATCTCGCTCTCTGCGACCTTCTTGCTGTGAGGCAACAGCCCTAACCACTGCACCTCTGTGCACACTACATATTATTACGGAGGCCAACGTCTAAACTCTTAGCACTGACAACAAGCGAGGAGCTCCATCTCACTAAAAAGAAAGAGTTTTCCAACTTTTGATTCTTCAGACCTCGGGAAAGTTTTCTGCTTTGCTACTATGCATGTTTGTTTTCTTTTGCATTTGTGCCACATTGTACTTATGGCAGCAAAGACAAGCTATGTTCAGTTATTTTTATAAGAGTTCCTGAGTCCATGCAATGATTTATTTCTTTTTTGTTTTGCAGTACCGCCTGAGGACCAGATGGTCACAGACAGCCAATATTGGTTTTCAGCCTTGTCCCTTGTGTACAGAGATTTCTCCAGATTCCCTCAATCTTTTAATTACACAATGCACCATAGA